TGGGTGAAGGGAGATAGTGGATGGTGTAATATATGAAAATAAAAATAATTTATAAATTATCAAGTGTTCAGGAGGGCGGGAGGATGGGGGAGGAAGGGCAAAAAAAGAGGAGCTGATACCAAGACTCAAGTAGAAAGAAAATGTTTCTGGAAATGATGATGGCAACATATGTACAAATGTGCTTGATACAATTGATGTATGGATTGTTATAAAACCTGTAAGAGCCCCAAGAAAACGATTTACTAAAATGTAATTTATTAAAGTGTAATTTTTTAAAAGCTGACCCAGAGTTAGAGATATGCCTTTTAATACGAATGCCATCCACAAAAACAGTTACATACGGGTCGAACTTGAATGATGTGACTACAAAGGCAAAGAAAAGATAATTTTGAAACCTTTATTTAAAAAGGGACTGAGCCTATAACCCAAGAAGCCTCCCATTCCCTCGGAACTTGAAAGGGTTCACATGAGTCTGCACACTGCCATGTCTATGTAGACAACTGCCAAGAGCTGTCACCACAGCCACTGAACAAAAGAGGAGGCTCGGGCTTTGGGTGGTTAAATGTCACACCCATAGGGAATGGAGCTGTGATAGAATCCAAGTTTCTAACTCCCACAACACTATTCACCACAGGCTTCCCTGGGCTATTTCCAAAATATCTCAGTGTTTAGCCTGTCTGTTGCAGGTCCCAGGAAGCACAGATGTGCATAGAAGCACATTTTAAATTGTGACGATTTGGATTTGTTTTTTGTTTATTTGACTCTCCAGCATGGGTTCTTACATCAGTAGCTCTCATTTGAATCAGGTAATAAAAGCAGCTTCATCTTCTCTGGGTGAGCCAATTTTTATTTGTGGCATTCTTGCTACCAGATATGCAGCTGGGAAGAATTAGGATTTCAAATGCAAACTGCCATTGACTACATGACTTCATGCAAATTGTTCAATTTCTCAAAAATATGGTGGAAACTCTAACACTAACCTGATAGTCATGATTTTATAATAATAGTATCTTTCATGCATTAATGGAATGTCTCCTTACTTCTACCCTTTCACCCACCTTTCATTTATTACAGAAGGACTCTTAGTGGTTACAAGTTGGGCTGCTCCTATCATAATTTCAGATTTGAAAAACCTTATAGGATTGGTTCTGGGACTTTGACCACTTGGCACATGGTAGTGGTGGTTGGGTATGGCTCATGACTTGACTAACAAGAATTTACTGTGCAAGCCTGTTGGCAGAGTGCCCCTTTCTACTCTTACTGGGCATTGTGACCTATTTTCAAATACACTTCTGAGGGTAAAACTGCCCTTCCCTCACTTTTACCCCAACGTGTCTAAGCTTTATCTACATTGCTGGTTTAATGGTCAGAAAGAACGCAGATGCCATTTGAACTTAGGTCAAAACTCAAAATGGAAGTTGGGTTCCGAATGTTGAAGGAAGCATCTATAAACTAAGTATTCAGAACAGAATGTCTAATTCACCTATAGCCACAGTAGCATCCTCCAGTGCTGACTGATGTGGAGTACCCTCAGACTCACTAGCATTGAGTGAATGCTGACTCCTAAGGACCTCTTTCTCTGGTGGGTTCACCTGCTGACACGGTAGTGAGCAGCTCAATGCAGGATCCACTCATTAGGCCATTAGGGATCTTTCATTCAATGCAAGGGCCACAGAATACTACTTTCTATTTGGACCCCAGTCAGCAGATTCCTCTGGGCAAGGGAATTTCCAACAGGTCTTTGTGAGTTAGAATCAACTAGAATTAGAGGGAGCTGATTTCCCTTGCAGGGGAAGCTCCTTTGCAAGAACTGTTTCGTGTCAGGTAAGTTTTGCTCTGAAATGGCTTTACAGGTCTGTACTGAGGAAAACAGAGTTCACTTTGCAACCTTCTTTGATTTTGTAAAATTAGAGCCATTTCAAGAGTAGCCATGGTGGTGCAGTGGGTTAAATATTGAGCTGCTACTTGAAAGGTTAGCTGCTGGATCCCACCAGTTGCTCTGTTGAATAGAGATGCAGCTGTCTGCTTCAATATTACCTCCTTGGAAATCCTGGGAGGCAGATTTTTTCCCTCTCCTATAGGGAGAGGCATAGCAGGTTGCAAGTGGGGTGGCTAACTGCAATGTCAACATTCAAACCCAACAGCCCCAGGACCAAAGAAGGATGAGGCTTTCTGCTCCTGTAAGGACTTAGGGCCCGGGGGAACCCACAGTCAGCTCTGTCCTACAGGCTCACTGTTCCTCAGAATTCACTTGATGACTGTGAGGTGGAGCTTCATCCCAAGGATCGAAACAACCAAGGGAACTAAAGGCAGGAGAAATAAATTGCCAAGGTTATGGTTTCAGTGAGGTCGTGTTGGAATTCAGAGTTGACCCCAATGCTTGTTCTGTATGGAGCTCTCTCACTCTTCTATACTATATAGGATACCACACCGGGATGGAAAATATAGTCATAAATCTACTGGCTGCATCATCATAGGCCGTAAGCCTGTATTTTCTTCAATAATCCACACAGGCAAGCTCTAGGAGAAAAATGCAAAGGACCCCTTGACCTCAGTGTTATCTTGCCAATGAAATCACTTAAACTAGGAACTACTGTGTTTAATTTGGAATCTCTTCGTTTCATATGCAAAACCCTGCTTCCAATTGACTTTGTGTGAATTCCGAGTACCTGAGAACATAGGGATCCTTTATATAGATACTTCTAAAAATCCTTTCAAAAATGCAAAAGCCCATAGACCGGAAGGAAGGAAGCCGAGATTAAATGAGTAAATGATTCTTGCTTTAATGCCCTTAGCTGCAAAAATCTTTAAGGCAACATATGGAAAAGGCACTCCTTAATGACAAGGCTTCTTTGAACCTGTTCCAGCAAAGACTGGATTGCAGATTTCGAATTCGTAATTCTCAGAGGCTCCGAGTCCTCCGCCCCTGGGTCGCCGGGAATTTCGCAAACTGTGACTTCCAGCCTCGGAGGGGAGAGGGGCGCGGGATGCGCCACCCGGGAACCTCACCATCAGTGGGCGTTTAGCGCAGCCAAGCGACTGGCTAGCGCCAGGGCTCAGCAACAGGGAGGCGCCGGCTGAGGCGGGGAGAACTTTGGCGCTCGGAGCCGAACCACCCTTTGCTGGCCAGTCGCGTCGGTCCTCCAAGGAAGCAAGTGGCGGCGGCGACTGGGCGGAAAGAAAGGGCGAGCGAAGTAGTAACCGGGAGAAAGACAGGAAGCCAGCACTGCGGGAGCCCGCCAGAGAGTGGCCCACAGCGAGGCGGGTTGGGCGGCTTCATGTGAACGCCCTCTCCCACGCGCCCCCCGGGACCAAGCGATCTGCGCTCGGACGGAAAAGGAAGGGAAAAGACTGCGAGTGAGTGGGTGACCCCCTCGGGTCAGCGCCCAGCCCTCGGATCTCCGGCCGCTTCTCAGTCCAGCGCCCCGCCGGGTGGGACGCGGCGCCCTGCCGATGGGGCGCGCCGGGAGCCGGCGCCCGAGCCGCGGGTGACCGGCGCCGGCCCGCCCGCCCGCCCGGCTCCGAGCAGGGAGCGGGCGGGCAGAGGATGAGCCGCGGAGGGCCCGGCAGCGGCCTCGAGGACAGCGGCGGGCGTGCTAAAGCCCCCACTCGGATGGCCCGGCGAGCGCGCCAGCTCGGGGGACCGCTCCCGTGAGCCGCGCGCGGGACCTGGGGGCGGAGACCGGAGGCGGCGGGCGCCGAGGGGCGAGCGGGGCGCAAAAGGGGGCGCGCTTCCTGCCCGCGGGTCTCCGGAATGAGGAGACTGACTGTGTGGTGGCTGCTGAGCAGGGTCTGTCTGCTGCTGCCGCCGCCACCCTGCGCGTTGGTGCTGGCCCGGGTGCCCAGCTCCTCCTCGCACCCGCAGCCCTGCCAGATCCTCAAGCGCATCGGGCACGCGGTGAGGGTGGGCGCGGTGCACCTGCAGCCCTGGACCCCTGCCCCCGGCGCCCCGCACGATGAGCCCGGGCGGGGGACGTGGCGGGCCCTGGCGCCCTCACCGGGCGCACGCTGGTCGGGGAGCGCCCTGCGCGGCCGGGGGCCACCAGGCGCGCGCCAACCTGGGCAGAGCGCCGGGGCCGAGACCCTGTGGCCGCGGGACGCCCTCCTCTTCGCTGTGGACAACCTGAACCGCGTGGAGGGACTGCTGCCCTACAACCTGTCCCTGGAAGTCGTGATGGCCATCGAGGCGGGCCTGGGCGACCTTCCGCTCATGCCCTTCTCGTCCCCCAGCTCGCCGTGGAGCAGTGACCCCTTCTCCTTCCTGCAGAGCGTGTGCCACACCGTGGTGGTGCAAGGGGTGTCTGCGCTGCTCGCCTTCCCCCAGAGCCAAGGCGAGATGCTGGAGCTCGACCTGGTCAGCTCCGTCCTGCACATCCCGGTGATCAGCATCTTGCGCCGCGAGTTTCCGCGGGAGAGTCAGGTGAGCGGAGTCTGGCGCGTGGAGTGGGGACTGGCGGCGCTGGGGGCTGGGACCGCAGCTGGCGGGGGCGGGGGCCAAGGGTGGGAGCGGGGGTGGGGGGCGGAAGGAGGGGGACAGGGAGCAGGCTGCAGTCCGGAATGACTTAGGGCTTGAAAACTTTGATACTGTTCCAGGACCAGACAGACCCTATCCGCATGTGGTAGGTAGGGGGACTGAGGGAGAAAGTGGAAGGAAGTATGTGGAGTGCGGATCGAAGCAATGTGTGAGGGAGGGGGTCGGAGATGGGGGAAGAAAGTGGGAGAGGATGTGAAAAGACTAAGCAAGTGAGCCGCTGGGGAAAATCTAGCCGGTGGCAGACCGAAGTGTGGAATGCTGTGTTCAGAACGGTGGAGAGCGTCCGGGTCTTGAAGACTAGTGCAGGGGCTGGGGCGAGGCGTGGGCACCCCTGACTGCTTCCAGGTCTGGCCCTCCCTGATAAACTCTCACTGCTGCTGGTGGAAAGAACAGCGGCGGCTTCGCCAGACTTTTTTAGAAGGTGTGGCTTGGGCAATGGCATAAGAAAGAAACCACCTCCCTCTCCCTTCCTTTCAGCAAAGAGAATCCGTCTAGTACAGAAGCAGTGGGGTGAAGAAGAGCGCTTGATTAGACTTGGATATTAGCATGTATTAGAAATAGCTTATGAATGGAAAGGGGTGTGTGTGCTCGTTTGAGGATTATTTCATTATCTCTATCTCGCTGTGCCATCCAGAGGCAGGTGTGCTGTGGTGGTTGTGTTCAACCCTGTTCTGTTCACAATATCTCGGAATAAAGCAAGAGGGATCTAATGATTGAGTTTCTTCTGGGTTAAACAAAAATGATCAAATATACTTTGAGTCAAAGAAGTTGTTTTGGAGCATAATTTTTGGGAAATAATGATGAAGAGATAAGTAAGGGGAGAAATGGGGCTTCCTGCATTTTATGTATTTATCATAATGGCAAACTTTATGAAACAATTGCACAAAGTATCTATGGTGCAAATAGGCAGTTGGCATTGGACCCATTTTAAAGATTAACAAACTAAGGGGTGTTCTGGAGCTTCACCATGGTTGGGGCATGTTCAGTCAAGAGAGCCCAGACTCTGGGGGATTTCTGGCTGTATCATTTGCACTTTACCTCTTTAGCTGGAGAAATATTTCTCATTTCTCTTTGTATCTCTTGATTTATGTAGATATAAAAACTCAAATGACAAAGAGTAATGTATAAGTCACAAGTCTGATAGAGCCTATGCATAAAATATCAAGGGACTACTAAAGATTTCTTGTTCTAGAGAAATTAATCTTACATTTTTTATCTTGGGAGAGGTGGGTCTGAGTTATTTGCAGTAGTTGCCCAGAAGATTCTTATTTCATGGTGAACTGTAGAGGTTTGCTTTGCAGAGCGCAGGCTAATTAACTTTTATCTAAAATATTTCTGTCACCTGAATCTGAATGACTGTAGGCAGCAGATGGGAAGGCACGGAAAACACAGGTGCGCAATACTGCCAATGGCCAAAGTGTTATAAACATGAAATTGCATCCATAGGGTGCATCATTATTAATATATATGCAGAATCGCATCTAACAAAATGCAGGCGTCAGCACCGCTTGCTTCTCATCACTGCTTCTTTATTACCTAATACTTCATCAGTTGCCAATAGGGTTCACTAGGAACACTAAGTTTCTAAATGCCAAGAGGAGTCTCCAGACTCCATTCCATTTGTAGATTGCTTGGCAAGAGTCTCAAATGGCAAGAATCTCCCCCCAAAGTAGTGTCCCTTGGTTAGAACAGAAATTGTCTGTGGCCCATGATGGATGTGTGCACTACAACAGCACATTACCAACGAGGGGAGCAAAGAAATCATAAAAGCAGCATCTAGAAGCCGTAGACGTCAAAGTTTTAAGACCACTGGGGGAACAGAATCCTCCAGAGACGGCCCTTATTTGCTGACAATAAAACAAATGCTCTGCCGAGCACATTTAATTCTGTATTCCAACTCAGAAATGTATTTTAAATCGCTGTTGTCACTACTACTTTCATAGTGCACATCTTGTAAAAGCGAGATTATTGTATTAACTCGGATCTGGGTTGCCCAACTGAAGGCATTTTCTTTCAGCTCCCCTTTTGTTTTAAATTCAAACATATATCTAATTTGGCTTGCTCTTACTGTATCATTTGAATGTCATCCTCTAACGTTCTATATTAAGAATGACCAGCTCAATGCCAATTCACTGTAATAGGTAATTTTAGGATAGGACCATAATTTACTTTCGGCAAAAATAAAAGCAGTTTTTTCCTTGCTTCTCCTGATAAGTGGTCTTTTGTCTAATAGACTGATATGATTAAAAAAAAAACTTTAAATAGGAAAGGGACACCAAGGTTATTTTGCACATTTAATAGGACTGATTTAATTGATCGCATCCAGCTGCTGCCTCTTTTGAGTCAACTGCCCAGTGACCTATTTTGTTGATTGTGCCAACGCTTGAGAGAAGTATTTTAGAAGAAAGTGGACTTTTTCATACAACCAAGTAAACTGTTCACAGAAGGAAATATCAAAATTTGTTTTTAGAATAAGAATAGCTACAGCAGCTCTTCCTACTTCCTCCTGGGCTGCTGAGGTAGGACACAGAAAGCCCTTGAGTACTAAGTAATGGTTTAGATAATGCCCAGCCTCAGGTTGTAAATGGAAAAGGATACCACTGGGATGCTCCAACAACTAAGAATGACACAATAGTCTTATTCAGCATACTATTTATTCAAGGTGCAAACACATCAGATCCTGAGCTTAGAAGAAAGCAACTTCCTTCAGGCGGGGAAATCCATTACAAGTAAATTAATGGAAAACTTTGTCTAAGCAATGAAAGTTTAGTATAAAAACATTACGTATAGAATGTATCAAAGCAGCTCGCGATCCAAAATATTTTTTTTGTTTCACTACTATATTCAAATCTCTGAAACTAACCAATTTTATTCAAATGAACATGCCCTTGTCCTAAACTCTATCCCCATGACCTTTAAATAATGATGCTGCATATGGACCCACTTCCATGTACACTTAACCTTCTTAAGACGGAATTTTTGTTGAAATCATGTGTCATTAGTGTAAGGCATTTTGAAGGAAACTAACATGAATTTTTATGTAATAGGCAGTTTGATAAAATTAGTGGGACATATGTGTCCCAAGGAAGCTGGTGTTGGAGTTATCAGTAAATTGATGGAAATGAATGGAATGAAATCGTGTTTCTTAATATTCATGAGTTATAGAAGCCCCCACTAGAGGGCAACACCTACTGAAAGTGGGATAGCAGATTCCCACTAAATAACAGAGGCGGTAAATGTAGGTAGTAGGCACTCTATATTCCCACCTTCATGAAACAGTCAATTATCTTCAATTCCTACAGTTGTCCTTTCTTTTTCTTCCAGATTGGGTTTTTTCCCCCCTGAAATTAGCTCCTTAAAATTTACCTCTGATGTGGCAGCAGATACAGATTTTCTTTCCTAGGATTTATCTCTCATGTGAATTCCATAATGTTTCTATTAGCTAGGGTTAATGGGGTACTGTAATTGACTTAAATCCAAACCCATACAATTAAAAAATGGCTGCACTCTTTTCAACTCTTGCTCCCTGCACCAAGGAAAACTTTGCCTATCATCTCATGAGGCATGCGTACTAACACACCAACAGTGGGTTTTTTCATGCAGATATAAGTGTTTTAGGTGGTCTGTTTTTCTCTATCAGTAGAGGGCTAAGTACTAAAGCCTATTGATTAGAATTTGGACAACATAAAACCACTTTTGTATGTTCCACAGGACATAACGATGATGCCAATGCATACCTTCGGTTCCATAAGAGGGGAAGTAAAGGACATTTATTTTTAAAGCATCTGTGTGCAACTGTGCTAGTTTTCCTTGACTTGCTCTATGCAAAGCACACCCCTCTCCGCTAGGGAACATGCATTCTGTAGTTCGTGACGAATGGCTAATAGTAGCACCTGATTGCTGCTGACTTGAAGATAAATGATTTCCAATTAAATGTCAAGTGATGCAAGACTTTCTTAGCTTCTTCTTTTACAGGTGACTATTGAAAAAGACAGACCCAGGGTTCATTTGGCAGTGATGAGTTACTAGGTTTGTTTTTTTAAATTATTCACAATATTTTTCTACATAAAAAAAATGCAGAAGAGCTTAGCAGATATCATTCGTCGTCTATCTCAACCACTTTTCTATGTCCTAGTCACAGCACAGTAATGTAAACTACACATTTGCTCTGAATCCTCCTTGGCCATTATTACTGACATTAATCTGAATCATTTGAAGACCAATTTTAATGTCTAATTCCTTCATGTTTTATCTTCTGCTCCTGTAGAAAACATCAGTACTCTATATACTCGTATATAAGCCGACCCGAATAACAGTCAAGGCACCTAATTTTACCACAAAAACTGCATTAAAAATGTGCTAAAAAAACTCGGCTTACACACGAGTATGTATGGATAATTTTGACATTGGATTTTATCTTATAAATATCACAGTCACTTTCCAACCACATTGGATGAAGAGTTCAATGTAATGGAAAGTATATAAAATAAGTGTCAAAGGACTCCCAGAACACCTCTATTTCTTCCGAAACCAAAAACCATGCCCACCACCAGTGAATCAGTTCCGACCCACTATAGCCCTGTATATATCTTCTGAGACTGAATCTGTATGGGAGCAGGTAGCCTCACCATTCTTCCACGCACTGATTGGTGGGTTGGAACCACCAAGCCTGCAGTTAGCAGCCCAATGCCTAACCCACAGAAGCAACACTCTTGGACAGGGGACTGTATCTCCTCCTTCATGCCTATCAGTTAGAAGAAGGTACCTGTCTTAGTAACCATGGGAGCCCTGGCGATGTAGTGGCTTACCAGTTGGGCTGCTATCTGTAAGGTCTGTACTTTGAACGCATCAGTCACTGTGGGAGAAAGATGAGGCTTTCTGCTCAT